GGAATGTGGAGGGCTCTAAGAATAGTGCATTTGGTTCCTATAGCACAAGCGGAGCTCAGAAATGCACAGTTTGCCCACCCCCAAACAATGGCTACTTATTAGCCACCTCCCCCCAACAAAACAACCTTTTAATTTGCATTTTCCACATTTCACATGCAGAGCAGTGGGCAATACTGCCTTCCTCCCCGAGACCCTGCAATTTTAAGTCAGACAAACTTGGGCTTGGAAAAGTAATGGCCACCCAAAGGGTTTCTTTCATTCCAGGCTGCAAAGAGCAAGGGCTCATTTTCCTGCCTGCAGGGGAACCCTCCTTCCTGTTCTCAAAGACCAGTGTCTATTCTTATCTCAGCAGGAGGAAGAGCAGAGCTCTTCTGGAAGAACTGACGTTGTATCAACGTTGCTGAAGGCAGAATTGGGCCCAATATATCTGACATGCCAGAATAGATCTGCAAGTACAAACTATATTTAGACATGAAAATCAGGGAGATGCCCAACTCTTCAACCTGCCTGGGCAAACACAGCTTTTTACGCACCCACAAACAGCCAATAAAGTCAAGTGGTGAAGCTTCATCCAGGAAACCAGTGTGTGAGAGGTTTGGAGCCTACCTTTGCCTCTCTGGCATTTACTACCATCTTTATATTGTGGATTTATGAGTCCTGACCTTTGAGTACAATTTCACTCAGCAAGTATCAGTCCTACATGAGTAAAATGAAAACCTGCACATACCCACAAGAGCCATGTTAGCACCATCAGGCTTTGCAATATCCCACAGTGCCAATTGTCAGTGCCTGAACCTATATCCATCCATGCTTGACAATAAAGACACAGTGTTTCAGATGGGAAAAGATTAGTCCTTATCAGATTTACCAGTTGTGCAGGCAATACAGGATCTGGGATGCTGGCTAATTACACTTACAAGATATATCATTAAGTACAAAAGTGGTAGAGCTGTGAGGCACCATTAGCAAGTCAACTTTTGGAATGTGGAGTCTTTGCTTTAATACACATTAAAACAACAGCAAAAAGCTCACTCTGGGTCCATGTCCCCTCTGTTGCTGTCTTCCTTATGTTGCTCTGCCTGCTACAAGGATCAAATTTCATGGTTTATTGTTCTCCCTCCAACTGGCCACCATCCACATTCTTCTTCTGTACAAAGCTGCACCTCTTGCTCAAAAGAAGAGAGCACTATGCCTTCTTTTTATAAATTTTAGTCACATTTACAAACACACACACAGAGTAAGGTGATGACTTTTAAACACTCAACAACATTCCAGGGAATGCTGTTATTTGTCTTGGAGCAATTTTCTGTGAATGAAGCTAAAAAAGGCAATTTTCCACCAGAAGTTCACTAATTTTTGAAGATGCAGAAGTTGTCTCCCCTGTCTTCTGAGTCTTTAACATTTTGCCTTTTAATGAAACAACTGCTCTGCCTGAAAAGTCCTATTCATCACCTGCCTCAGGAGAGAACTGGCACACGGATTCTGCAGAGTACAGATTCAGCTCTGGGTACATTGCTGGAAATTAAACCCACAGTCACTGGAGCTACTTTGCTATAATGGAATAAAACTGGTACACAGCAGCTCAAGTCCATAATTTCAGTATCAATGTTTCAATGTAAATAAGAAATCTATTGCAGACAAATAACAGACCTACGTGTGAGATTCAAAGAAACAGCAAGTATCCCAGAATTTTAAGATTTCCTACCTAGAATATTTTTCCATGTCATTTTTCTTTTCGTTCAGCACACAGGATCCATTTTCATCTATGAGATTTGCAGCAAAGCTATCAAAACCTAACAAAATGTTCCACTCCTGAACATCCACCATCTTTCTTCGGTAGCTCAACAGCCTGTAAAACTGAAGCACTGTCATCTGGTGTGTAATTATTGTAATAAGTCTAACTTGTAAAATGAGGGAGGCACCATAAGCTTACCTAACTAGTCTGAAAATGTAAAATGCTCATCACCTGCAATCACTGTCTTTACTGTCCTTGATCTTTACTGATAGCCACCAAATTATAATAACTCTCTCCCTGCCAGTGAGAATCAGCTAAAAATGCAGCACGGGCAGAGCACAGGAAAGCTGCTAGAAGTGGGGCTGCTCTGGCCATTTAAAGACTCTCACTGCAGGAATTTTTCTTCCTTTTTAATTTTTTTATTTTTTATTTTTTGCTAATCAATGATGTAGGGGGTTCAGAAATGTAAGAAAAACATGCCAAATGGAAAACTAGGGGACAGGAAACCTCAGGAATCCAACAGGGATGTGGCAATTCCACACACTCAGCTGGAAAGCCAGAAAAAAAAAATCTATCTATGCTCAAAGGTTATGGACATATGATCAAAAGTGATTGTGTTACTGCAGTTAACTTACCAGCCATCCTCCCAGACGTGGTAAAACATCATACATGTATTCTTCACCCTCTTTTATTCTGTTATTCTATTATTCTGCTTCCAGAGTAAAACACCTAATGGGCAGCAATTCATGAAGCTGCAGCAATTTACTTTCAATCATATGTCCACCCATATTTCTAGATCCCAAGCAGCAAGACTCTCTACTTTGTGCTTAATTTGGGTACCACTGAACACAACAAGGTCCTCACATGCTTAAAGCAATGTAATTGTTTCAGGCCTTTGCTGAATTAGGGGCCTTACATTGACTACCTTTTCAAGTGAACCATATATGCCATATTGTTACATATTATATATTTGGATAAGCAAATTCAGGAAGTCTCCAGTCCTTCCCAGCTGTCTGTCTTAAGCTGCTGAATCCAAGCAAGGGTGTACTGGGTGTGCACAACTTGGAAAAGAGCGAGTCGATTCTGAAATAGCACAGTGGAAATGCACCTCATTGATTTATCACTAAGAAGCTGACATTTAGTAACTATCCCCTTATTTCTTACTGCTGTCACAGGACAAGGTTACACCAAGTCACCTACATTGAAGAAATCCACCTCTTTAAGCAGAAGTTGCTTAGCAGGGAAGAAGATCAAAGAACCCCAGGCTTGGAGCACATCCCCCAGCTAAGCACCACGCTCTCCAGGGGAGCTAGCAGAGCTCCAAAGATCAGCCTCTGGTTTGCTGGGTGAGAAGTGTTGCCATCTCTCATGAGGAGCTGGTGGACTGCCTGTGTGCACAGCTAAGCATCTTGAAGGATTCTGCTTCCAAGATGTTGGTTCAGCCTAACAAGGTACTTGGCTTTGGTGGTGAGGTTCAATCTGCTTCCTACTGTGCTTCCCAACAAAAGGGAGTTATTTATTCCTCACACCCAGGCTGCTCTCAGACTGAGTCCCCAAGCTCTTGCTTGTTCTGAAGTCCCTGGTCACAGCCAGTCTCTCTTATCTGGAGTGCTAGTGGGCAGCTGATTTGCACCACTCCTTGAGTCTCAGGGAGAGGGGTTGCTGGAGAGAAATCCAGGCTGCTCCTCTCTCCTGCCAGCTGCATTTTTGCATTTACCAGCTCGGTTGGTATCGCAGATCAAGAAAGGGTGGGGAATGGCCCTCATCCAAAGCAGGGCATTGCTTCTTGCAAATGCTGGTAACAGGTATTTCAAGTCTGCCTTTATCTTATTTGGGAGCTGTGCTGCTGGACCTGCTGTCCGTGAAGGAGTCATATTTTAACTTCACTTCTCACCCCACCTGATCTTTTCTAGCCTCAGAAACGTAACACAGAGATGAATTTGTTGAAGGGCACTAAGGAAAAAAACTGATTCTATGATTCTGTCATTCCATGATCTCTGCAACTTGCAATATGAGCTAAATTAGATTACCACCTATACATGTAAAAATATTTTTAGTGGTATGAAATATGTTTTACCTAATAGCATAAAGCCACTGGGCTAGAAAAGACAATGCATGATGGAATTACAGTACATTTCAATTGAAGAAATAAAGTTACTTTGATAACACCAGGGTATTTTTACTGCCTTGTCCTTGCATCCATCGTGCACACCTCAGAAGTTTAGCAATGTCACATTCGAAACACAAATTACAATAAAAAAACAAATTGCTCAGCATTTTCACATCAGGCCTATAAGCCAGAAGAGATGTTCTCACCTGTCTGCTTTGAGATGGCAACGTGGCAGGCTGCATGTGCCTCTGCATCCGATGGGGCTGCATCAGCTGTCGGAACTGCTGCTGGAGAAACTGGCTGTTGTTTGCCTGCTGGGGCTGTGCCGTGGCTGGAGATTGCTGCTGCTGCTGCTGCTGCTGGAGATAGTGAATGAGAGACTGCTGCCCTTGTCCTGCTGGCAGAGGTGACATCTTTTGAGTAGCTGACTCTGAGGCAAAGTGAGACAGTGGTTTGGTGTTGTTGAAAGAAAACTGGTCTTGGTTAACAGGGCTCTCGTTCACCAGACCTGGCTGTAAGCTACTGGATGGCTGTTGCATAATTATGTTCATATTTTTTGATTGGTTTGTAGTCATTGATTTAAAAAGTGAGCTCTGCATACTTGTGGGGTTGCTGGTGGGAGTGATGTTAGAGATTAATGTACCTTGAGGACTGAAGGGCTGCTGATGCAGAGCTGGGCTTGACAGCTTTTCTGGCCTGTATGGTGGAGAAGGTCCAGTATTGGTGGAGGACATGCTGGCAACCAAGTTGTTCTGTGGACTTTTAATGTTGTTGGCTGGTAAGCTGGCTGCTGCCAGGGTGGGCAGCATGGAGCTCTGTGGGCTGAAGGGCTGCTGGTTCAGAGCTGGACTGGAGAGCTTCTCAGACCCATAAGGAGGAGAAGGGCCACTGGACGGGGTGTTGCTGGAAGTCATGCTTGAAAGCAGAGTGTTTTGAGGGCTCTGAATGTTGTTTCCTGGTAAATTACTAGCAGGCATGCCAGACACCATAACATTTTGAGGACTGAAAGGTTGATGGTGTGGGGATGATCCTGCCCTGTAAGGTGGAGAGACACCAGGAGGAGACATAGTCGGCCAGCTGGGAGTCTGGACTTGCTGCTTAGTAGTAGACACCTGCTTGCTGGCTGCCAGCTGCTTTAGCTGCTGAGCGTGCCAGTTGGAGCCAGGCATGTTGGGTAAGGGGACTGGCAGCATGGGTGGTGGCTGGTTCTTGCTCTGAGCTGCTGTAGAGATGGGTGATGCAGCAGGTTTGTTTGAAGGAGGAACTTGGAAGTTTGCTCCAGCAGATGATGGTCTCATTTGAGGAGATCCTCCACTGGTTGGATTGCAACCTGGAGAAAAATCTTTATTAGCAACATGGTTCTCCAAGTGGGAATTTTGTGGGGAGGACTTTGGAGTGGTATTTATGCTTGGTTGAGGGTGACTCAGCCCAAGTGGCTCTTCAGCCTTGCTGCACAAAATCTTCTCCAGATCCAGGTCATTGGGAGAAGGATCAGGCATTTTTGTCAGCTCTTCCAATAGATCTTGCAGCTCTTGGTCCACAGACTGTAAGTTGTTTCCCTTCTCATCATAGTGGACAATGCTATTGTTCTGCCCTCCTATTGACCCCTTCTGATTTATTTCTGTGTTGGGTGGCACTGAAAATGGGGAACCAATGCCACCACCATTCATGTGATTGTTTTCAAGGAGCACCGAATGACCCGTGACTCCCAGGGAAGGAGCACTGTGACTGGTGGGGAATGGAGAACTTTGCATTTCTGGACATGTCACATTGGGGTTGGCACCTTGGCCCATGGCGAGATTTACGTCATCAAGACAAAGTCTTTTACTGTCATTTGGGAAGATGACGTCAGGGACACCGCCCGAGGCAGGAGAGCTGTCATCCTCCAGCTTTCTTTTAATGGATCCTTGTAACTGGGAAAATAAAAAAAGAAGAAGGAAGAACCCATTATTGACCTTATTTTAACACGCTCTGAAGCTCCACTCGGTAACACTGGGTTGGAGTTAAAGAAAATTAAATCACACTATTAAAAAACCAATCATGTAAAACAAATTAAATCAGGATTTAAGTGGGTGCAACTTCACTGAAATCAAGACAGTTACAGTCAGTCCAAGGCTAAATCTCACATGTTGGTCTTAAAACAGATGTTAAAGCTATAAAATACTGTCTATCATGTGAACTGTAATAGAAGTTTTTTGAATAGTTTCTGGTACCATTTTAATTAAGACATTATACTCCCTGAATAACAATCATGCCAATGTTTTTATGGTAACATTTTTTAGGTCTAAACAATGGCAGATCTGAATGAAACCCTGGGCTGAATCTAGTGACCTTCTGACAGTGGCTCGGATTAAATTCAGACCTGAGACAACTAAATTGTTTTACATTCTTTATAGGCATAACATCTGAAATAGCTGGCATACTTTCTAAACAAACCAAAACAAAACAAATTCTCAACTATCTATCTAAACAGACTTTCAAGCTTCCTAATCACAGACGGTTTAGATTTCAGAAACCAGAAAATATCAGCTAAACCTCTTAATTTTTGCTTATTCTTTTAAGTCTAAGACCGTGAGGGCTTTGCTGTTTTGAAGGATTGTAACTCATTCATAAAAGAATGTTATCAGAAATACAATTATCTAAGTATCTTGATCTACGAGAAATGGTAGAGTTGTAAATCCACAAATCTTAGTGAAAAAATCCTGCATTATACATTTAAAGAAAGTGAAACTGAAAACAATGCTTCTAATACTAATTCATCATGATATGGCAATCTCTTCCAAATATAATAATCTGGGACTTTCAATTTTAATAAGCATGACCCGTCTGTCGTAAGATTAATCAGACATTAACATTGCTGCTTCAAGTTAAGGGAAATGAGCATTATGTCCTTGTTTATCAATACAGGGAGGTGGCATTTATAAAAGTATATAATCAGCAATGGGAAGGCCATGGAAAGTCACTACTCCTCTCAGCTGGCTCACAGTAAAGCCTCTCCCAGCCCTGGCCTACAATTGCAAGTGCTGCCAGTCATCTAGTGCCATGGAAAAAAATTCACAACTAATAACAGCTCATATAACATCTCTAATAACTAGAAAAGCCCCACCACCTAACCCCAGCGTAACCAGATCCACTGGAGAGCTGTGATGGGTATGACTCACTTCTGAATTTTACACTAATTATTAAGCAGATCACAGTCTTGCCCAAGAGTCACTGCAGCAGCCAGTGACTTTGGTGCTCCCAGAAGCATCAAGGACAATCCCCGCAGGGTGTGCTGAGGCTGCAGGGCATGAGGTGGGCACACCTTGTGCTGCTCCATCTGCAACGTGCACGTGAAGGTCACTTCAAATGGCCAATATCCACCCCTCCATTCAGCCTGTTTTCAGGCGATTGGCCACAAACCTGCGTTGTTCTGAGCTGGGAACACAGGAGAGCTGCCTGGTGGCTCATCCAGTTGGGCTCACACGAGTGCTCTCTTGTCACTTATTTCTAAATCAGTGGGCAGAGAGAAGACTGCAGATTTGTGTCTGCAGTTGCTCAGGCTCTACATGCAGTTTAGGATTAGTACTGGGCATTGACATGCTAGTATCCAGCTAACACTGACATTTGGAGGAGAGGTAGAGGATACAAGGTAATTGTACATGATCATCATGGCAGATGGAAAAGCAGGTCTGCATACTACGGAGAGCTGCTGATCAGGTCTCAGGAGGAGTTCACTTACCCTCCACCAACACACACAGCAGTTTTGAAGGGCACTGTGGCAAAGAGACCTTTTTATCTCCCCAGCCTCTGAGTTATCCCTTACCAGAACAACCAGTGCCTCTCTCCTGTGGCCTCCAGTTGCATTGCTTCAACATGGGTTGCACTCAGAAACCACTGGCAAGTCAGAACTGAGGTCAAACAGGGAGAGTTGCTCTCAGTGCCACATGCACTGGTGACCTGACAGACCCCCTTGGTCAGCAGAGCTACATGTGGTTTGCACCACTGCTCTGCGAGAGATCAGTCAGGCAGCTGAACCATCAGCTATTTGATTATTCCTCTGGGCTAAGTAGGCCAAAATTTGCTTAGCTTTTGGAAATGGAACAAGGCCTAAATCTTCTCTCAAGAGTTGGTCTAATGATGGATGAAATTGTTTTCCTTGATTTTCTTTGCTAAAACTAAGCCAGAGTTGCGTGTTTCAACAGATGTTTCTCTGTGTAGGCTGAAACATGTTGGTAGAGCATAACTACATATATTTAAACCCAGACATGTACAGAGAATCTTAACAGGGGCTTCACACATCCAAAATAAACACAGTGTGTTCCCAAGTTGCACCCTGGGAACCTTCAGGCAGGAAGTAGTGGGGGATCTCCCATACTTGGCCAGCTGACATGCTGGCATGTATGTCCTTGCCAGTGCTTCTTTTGCCATAGGACATTCCTATGCCCTGAGTTACTGGGGAAAAATTTGGGCTTTCTAAATGCTTTGAAAAACAGTTTTTTAACTCTTGCACTAAGGAGTAAATGTGATGGGAAAAACAAAACTCCATTTCCCCAAGACTATTACTGGATATAAACAGATAAAATAAGGCCACAGCTTTCAGCCAGCATGGGCATTCCAAAACTGGGACAGGATTTTTAAACAGGATGCTGTTGCTTAGCCCTGGTGGGAAGCCTGGCTGTAAGACAGGCAGTGAAATTAGCTGGGTGTCATATTCTCTTGAAAAGCAAGATTCCTGTTTCCCAGGTGAATTATCTGCACAAGGACCATAAAATCTGAAAAACCGATTTCCCCAGGCTAGGCAGGCATAACTCCACACAATTGAGTAGCATTGCTTTTGCTTAAGATAGATTTGACTCTAGCCCCAAATTTGAGAGAGAAAGATACCATCCTTAAAGCAACTCAACAAATCACAGAATCATTTTGGTTAGAAGGGACGCCTGGGTATCATCAGCCCTCTGCTGCAAGCACATCACAAATGAAAAAAACAGATGACACTATTTCACCAGACACTTAAGTATGAAGTATCAGCTACATACAGAAAAATCCCTTCCTGGGCTGGATGGGCGAGCTGGGAGGTTTGTTTCTGTACTCCCCACTGATGCCCAGGTGATGTTGCTCCCCTGTGACACATTGTGTGCTGGTGCAGGCTGTGGGGAGCCAGCATTTTTCTCCTCATCTATGTGAAGTTGCTCTGCTCTCCATCCATGTGCCCCTGTGGCAGCCCAGACCAGTGAAGGGGACAGTGATGCAGTTTCATGTTAGGGGACAGTGACTGGCTCAGACATGCTGACAGGAGATCATCACCAAGGCACTACGACTTAGGACCAGGAGCTCCTGACCTAACAGGTTCAAGAAGCTACTTGTTGCAAATAATTCATCCAGTACTCTCAAACATCTCCACACCACCTCTTTAAAGCTAATCTATCCTTTTCAAGATTTCAAGTTCTTTCCCTTTGTCTGCTGACTGGTATATTGGGCAGCTTTGTTTCAAAGTGAATACCTGACAAGAGAATAGAAATATTTTAAAATAGACACACACACACTTCAGTTGGCTGGAGGTTGTATATGCCTAAGAATGGGAAAGCTTCATTCATATGTCCAAGCAAGGACAAAGAAGAAAAGCAACAAGTGAGCTCCTGTGACCTTGATCATTAAATTCATTAAAATGCATTAGCATGCACAGGCCAACTTCTGTTTTGGAATACCTGGGAAACAAAGGCAGGTCCTCCAATTTGGTGAATATGCAATTATGAGGTCTCCACAATCTGAGGTTTGCTTTTAGAAGGCGAAGTGCCTTGATCCCAGCACTACTCTCGAAGGCAACGGGCTTTCTGGGAAAGACCCAAGTTGCAAAGCAGCAGCGCTGCGAGCTCACAATGGCAGTGTAACCAGAATGAATAACTGTTTGCCCTGCTCCATCCAAGGACGCTCTCCTGCTGCTGTCACAAACCTCGTATGTCACACATCACCTCTCTGCAGACCCGGTTCCCTAGGGTGGGCTGAAGGCTTCCACTGGCTTCTCTTGTGCAAGGAAGAAAAGGCAGACTCAGCAAGGGAAAGTCCTTCTTGGCTGCACCACTCCTAGACAGAGCTCTTGGAAGTTGCCTGCTTGGGTGACTTTTGGCGTTGGGCACTGTCCAAACTCAGGAGGTGGTGCTGGCCTCAAGTAACTTACTGATTCTCAATGAAAGGAGAAAGGAAGGCTGGAAGTGGCAAAAACTAAGCAGAGAGATCAAATTGTTAATGAATACACACTGGTGGTTCCATTGGATCTTAATAACCAACCAAACAGGCAGCTCTGGACTGGTTCCCTGCATGGTATCTGGGAGGAAGGAGCCACCACAGCCTGCTCAGAGAGCCTTGTTTCTCCAGCCTTGCCACGACCCCCGTTCCACCAGAAATAACCCAAATCTAACCAGAGATTCCTATCTAGGTCAACGCAATGCAGAAATGAGAGAGAGGAAAACCGTTAGTCGAGGCATTTCTGTGCCTCCTCCTGGCTTGTGCAGCCTGTGAGAGATTCAAGCCTTGATTTACAGCAACCACAGGGTGCTGATTATTGATCTGCAACCACCCCACCCCATTGGCTGCCACTGAGAGATCCAACCTACAGCAGTGATTCCCACACCCACGCAGCCTCTTCAACTGAGAACTGAGCCTGATGGGACACTGCCATTTTGAACCCATGTCTGTAGAGTCTAGTCCACCACCCTATTTCCAGCATGCACCATCATTGCTGATGCATGATGCATTGCTGGTGCATGATGCTCTTGATTTAACCACATAACATCCATGGATCCATGACTGGGATATCCAGATTGGGAGTCAAAGAAATGTTCCCTGGAAATCTCAAGACCCTCATAGCTCTTGGGAAACCCAAGGTACCGACTTTTCTGTTTGCTTGACTGAAGAAAAGAAAGAAATTATGCTAAAAGGAGACAAAGAGGTGGGGAAACTTTCAGTCTCACCACAGATACTGAGATTTGCTAGTGTTGTGGCAGCTTTGCACAATGTCATTCAGAGCTAGACACCAGTGTCTCAAATGTGGGGAATCCAGGTCACCAACAGGCTGCTCAAATATGACATATCTGAATTATTTTGACAGAGAGAGTACATTTAATTTTTGGTGGAGGGGCTGAGCAACACAACAGCCTGAGATGAGTAAAAGACTTTTTCCTAGGATTTTTCAAGGTATATTGCAAACTGTTTTTTCTCTCTGCAAAGTATAGAATCTGAGTCGAAGGTTTGCTCGACTGAGCTGACCAGAGAATCTATCACTCCATGTCTCTTTCAAACACTAGACACTGCCAAAACTGGAAGTATGTATTTGCCAGAGGCAAAGTGTTTGCAGCATTCAGCGATCAAGACTTCAGTCTCTGTGGCTTCAACAAGCTTCAGCGAGAGCTATCTGCCCATCAGCCCAAAATGCTTCTATCTGTTCTGACAAAAACAGTCATGTAATGAGAAAATGAAACTGGCAATTTTCCACATAAAACAAGAAAGCTTTGCAAATTTTTCTCCTCTGTCTTAAGTACACAATTTGGAAAGGCTTGTGCTCTCTATTGCTCATTTATCCACACTCTAGATAGATTTTAATGTCCTACTAATCTTTGAGGACAGTTAATGGAAAATAGGTGAGAATTTGACTGTGTGTTTGAAGGCTGAAAAGTGGATCTGATATAATATTACCTTTAAAATGGCAGCAGTTATTTGCAGCCTGGCTTGAGGTATCAGACATGCTGCTTTTGGTAGCAGGCTGGCTTGCATGTGAGCAACAAAGTCCAACTGCTCATGGGCAAAGATCCTGCTTAACTCCAGCAGAACCTGACACTGCATTAATGCATTGAGCACATCTGCAAGTTTCCATTTCTGCATGCTGGCTGCAGTTTGCTATCAGAAACTGACATTACATTTCTGAACTCAAGAAAAAAGACCTCCTGCTGACTAGGGAGCAGCCAAAGCAGTCCATGACTATGAGGAACATAAACTATGCTTTATCAAAGTCACATCTTGGGCTACAAGGAGAACTCAAGGAGGCTCAAACAATTAAAACTACCACTCAGTTTCTCCATACTAAGATTAAACATAAGCTAAAATCACATTTTTCCTACTTGCTTTAGGCTGTTTGACCCTTCTGTACTCAAGCAATTTCAGCATGGATGGACATAAGTTGTCATTTCACATTTCCAGGAAAGAGATCACGTTGCAGTTCCAAGCTACCAGAGATGTGTGTTTCACCATCCTTAAAATAGTAATACCCCAACTCCTCAGCTAAGGAGTATCAGAGTAAAGTCTGCCCTGGGATCTGTTGGGTATTTGTAGGCTGGAAAGGTGGCAGATCCATTTGTACTGAGGTGTGGTAGTGGAGAAAGGATTATGAATAGGGAAAATTCACAGGGTGCTTTTCCTTCTATTCATCAGGCTCATGGAAATAGGCCACTAGAAGGGAGGATGTAGGAAGAGGAACTAGGGATGTAAACAGTCATTTTAACCATTAAGGGACATTGTGCTATCTTGTGTTACGTGGATTATTTTACCTGGAACTACAGCTTATCCAAATTTGTAATTTACAGGAGCAATATGCAATCTGCCATTTTTCAAACAAGCGTGTTAACATACGTTGGAAATGGCTAGTTAGGCTCTGCAGACGTAAAGCACCTCCTGAACACTGCTGCTACATTTGTGGAATTTGATATCCCATCAGTACAACATACACCAGTTGACTTGATGGGATCGTGCTGTGATCCTCTGCCCCATTCCTGTCACCACTCATTGTGATCTTCTCCAGTTATTCCCTCAGTACATCAGGAACCTCAAGCTGTGTTAGAAGAGAAAGAAGAAAACAAGGTGTGTGCTTTCCCTTAATAAAGGTGGCAAAGCTCCCCGTTGTGAGTGCACGACAAGAGGTTTTGCTCCCTTATACAGTTGCTCCAGAGCTACAAGCAGTTCCCCTTCCCTGCTCGGTTGCTGCGGCAAAACAAGTCTCTTGATTGACTGCTCAATAAATGTGAACTTTTAAATGCTGGCTGATGACCTGGCACTTTCTTTCATCTACATGGTCTTCCTCCCCAAGTCAGCCCATGGCACAAGCAGGAATCCTGGCTGTGAATACTCTGAACTGCACCGTTTAGCTGGTAAGCACAAAAATCCAAAACATCACGACTACACAAAACCGGAAAGACGTGATCTTACAATAAGCTGAAACCACAGAAGCTAACAGGAAATGCAACCTAGACTACCAAGAGCCTAAGGTATTAGCTTTTTCTTTTAATCTTAACCAAAAATTAAAGGGAAGGAAATACTACAAATTTGATTTTCTCATACTGATTTGTGTGAAGGCAGTTACACTCATAGTGATGATCTAAATAGTTGTGATCTAAATCCGGCTTTAAACTGGAACAGGCTCCACAGCAGCAAGTTTGTGAAAAAGGTTTT